TCGCGCCCGTGTCTGGGATACCGTCGTCGCGACGATACATCGATTTACTGCCGTTTTACTACTGTCGCGGCGCGGCTGCCTGTTTTAACGATGCATAAAGGTACCGGCGCATAAGGAGACCGTTCACGGCGACTGCACGATAGTCGCGAGATAGGATGCACGACAGGTGAGGCATGCAACAAATCGAGACCGGGGTTTCCTCTAGGAAAAAAAAAAAAACAGAATATCGGTCGTTTAACGCTTCCTCCCGGTGAGGGACCGTACCGATACGCGACGAATTATTGCACCGCTGCCAATCTACGAGGATTACCCACGGCGGGGAAAGGGCCACGGGGACGTCGTTCGACGACTTTACTGCTGCACACGTCGCCCTCCTGAAAACGCATCGACGCCGTTGCAGCTTGAGCTTTCTGAGGCTTAACCGGGAACTTGCGAAGGCGCGGGCGCGCGCGCCATCGAGAATTTCGATTTCACGGGCTTTTCGTGGCGTACCATAATTCGCGGTTTTATCGCGTCGAGCACGGGGAACCAAGTATCGTCAACGAAAATGAAAAGACGGTTGCCCCTCATTGGATCCCCGATCGTTGGGTATAACGTGCACTTTCGAGAACGTACTTAGCTCAAATTAGAAAATTCGATTCATCAACCTTACGTCGTTTATTACTTGGTACTGACGAGGAATATTCGAAAAGCGTGTCTTTTTCTGAACTTTGGTAATCATGGTGTGTAACATCCGAAGAGACTCATTTTACGTTTTATATTGTTAATACGTATGCAATATTCTACGTTTCAATTTATATTGTTTGATGTCTCATAAATACTCATTTCCTTAGTCAACGATTGAAACTCATTCGCGATTGGTTTTTTTTATTATACACTAAGCTCCAAGGCTTAACGCAAATGATTGATTCTTCCAACCGCTGATCCAAGTTCAAACAATTGAATACGCATGTATGTGTATCTATATGGGCGCAAGTATGATACGGAATATTTGGAAATTGTATTCTGCGAAAACGGGAAAGATACGCAGAAGCAACAACGAAGAAAAATTTGATAAATTAACAACGATCGAACGTAATAATGCGGTCGAATCGATCGATTGTTTCGGAGGTCGGGATTGCGGTCGACGCGAGTAACTATTTAACCTTATCGTATCGCGACGAATGCAAATTACGCGTATAAACGTACGCATCGCGTAACTGTTATATTGAACTCTGCTGGGACGAACAGACATCATAAACCAAAACTATCACAGCTCGATGCGCCCGGAGTTTCTCTTCGTGCTGCATCATCGACGAACGATATACGCGTTATGCCGTTTCGAGCCGAAATAAACATATCGTTGATCGAGTTTGTTTAATCAGAACGATGATTCTCTAAAGTCATTTTCGTGAATAATTTCGATAAAGCAACAACTAAGTCCAGGTGTTCGCGATGAACGAAGGTAACGTTACGCAATCACGTTCAAACGAAGCGACATTGTTCTGAAAACGATACGAGATTAGACTAATCTCGTGTGAAGTATGTTTCGAAGAAGGAGGACAACCTTCGCGCGATTATCTCGTTTTTGCCCAACACGTGCCTACGCTACACACTTAAACGCTGCTGTTTGAATAATCGTTAAAAATAAACGTTCCAGCGATTGTTTATACGGAGAATAAATTTTGATTTCGGTAGTTCATAGTCTAAATTTGTCCCCTGATATTTTTGAACACCCTGTACAGACACCTCCGTCCTGCCAGCGCGAGTTTGGTATAATATGTTAATTCCCCAAAAGATGTGAACGGCTCCGAGTAATGGAAAAAACTAGTAGCTGTCGCTCTGACTCTTACAGGGACGGCTGGGTAGCTACTAAACTGCAATGGAACTTTTCTGTTCGCCTAATTGTCCTAACGAGTGACCTCAACGCTCATTACTCTCTTATCCCGTCTTTGGTCCAGCACCCTCGCGATTCTTTCATCCGCCGCGCCACAGAACGATCAATGTGCGTTTGATTTGTGATACTTTCCTCTACTGTTTGACGCTAGAATAACACAAAGCAAATGATTGTAAATTCCTTTCTTTATCTACGTTTTAACAGCATTTTGGATTTACCCAGGATGTACAACTAAAACGTAAGGTAAACAGGGTAATACCCAGTACGAGAGATAATGGTAAAGTCATACACTGAATCGTGTAAACTTACATAACGTGTTTTTTTCTGGAATTAAAAAAATTTGCGTATCTCGAAGAGAGCCAAAACGTATACAGATAAAGATAGAAATTTATATTCGCTCTGTATTATTCTCCTACTGATCGTAAGCTGATGCTTCTTCCTCGAAGGATGAAATAACATTCACGGAACGAAGGGGTAATACGATTATATTTATCGTGTCACGGAGGTAACGCTTCGAAACGTGCAACGTTTTCTGGTACATCCAAATAATTAACGTCGTTCCGTCGAAATTACCTGCTGTTTCGCCTCATCGATCCCCGCGAGCCGTGCCACGATTCATCCTTCTTATCATAATCCAATTACGTTTCACCGAAACGTATCAATTATTCGACGATACGCCGTCCGCTGTTCGATTACGAGTACGGGACGTTCTCGAACGATCGACGGAAAATTCGTCGCTATTCGTCAGGCTGTTACGAGCGTCTACGAAAGCGGATTCAGTATTACCGGATATCTCGTTAAGACAGTTGAAATCGATCCACGCTGCGGATTTCCGAAGTACACGAAAGGGGTAATTAATGGCAAAAGCATCGCGCTGCTGCTGATATCTTCTGTCCGGTATGCTCGAGACAGGTGCCAGAGATCGAGTAGCCCCATAGTCAAGGTTCGTCCGTCGAATGAATAATGCGAGCTCACTTGCATTCTACGCCGTCGTTCGTAGGTAGGAAGCTAAAGTCGGGGAACTCCGGTTTAACGTTTGTACTTGTGTGTGCGTAAACGTACGACGCGTTGGTGGATGCACCTGAAAGTAAGACTTCCACGGTACTGCTCGTAGAATATGCACGCCTATATTTAGACACACGTGAACCTTCTCAGAATAAACATCCCCATATGCGGTACCATCGAAACAAACCGAAGCGAAACTGGCATTCGTCGTTCGTACGATTGTTTACGAGCACTCCATTCGTTACAGGGAAATGGACTTTGCGGTAAATTAACGGCAGAAGGGCGCAATACCTTGCGACAAAATGATAGGAAGACCATAATATCCTGGAATATTTATTCGGTGCATGATAATTACGGAATATTATTTGTGGAAGTTTGTGTATTTAGGCTCGATTAAAAAAGCAATAGAGTATAATGGTTACTCTTCGAATACTTAAAGATCGTTTTCTAACTAAAACTAGGTAATTTGGGAAATTTATTTCCACGGAAACTGTTGGGTAATTTTCAACCACACACGCATAGGGCGCTCCTTAAGAATAGGGTGGTTTTTTAATCAAAAGAAAATTTTAAATATCCGTCGACTATGAATTATGAGTACAGTGTCACCTGAGATGTTATGCTACGGTAATTGCTGAGCCTATGTTCACCGAGTGTGGTGCACGACAGGGTTTGCCAAAAATTGAGAAGACTGATTTACCAGAATCGTAATTGTTTCGTTAAAAATAGGGACTATGTTATGAGATCCGGTTGCCAGGGTAGTTTCACTCTGCGTGTACATTTCATGGCTGTTACGACCCATATTCTGTCATCGTGTATCCAGCAATTGACTTAATGATCCGAGTGAATCTACTCACGATGCGGGAACTAAGTGCATACACGAGGTAACATATTGGATGCTCACACGGTTAACAAGCACCCGAGCAAACAACCTACAACGACCTTGACAAAGCAGCTTTAGGTCTTGTAATCAAGAGAGCTTGTAATGTAGGGCGCTAAACACGAAACTTGGCGATCCGTTCTAAAGAGAGATCAAAAAAATGGACGAAAGAACGATTAAGACCGCCTCAGCTGACTATAAAGAACACCCGACGAAATATGAATGTTCGTTTGGGAACAAATGTATTAATACTTCGTATTATGCGCTCGGTTTACGCGAAAGCTTTTTAACAGTATGAATAAACAAGAATTTATCGGAAAATATTCCCCTCGAATATACATCCATGGCCCGTTGTCGTAATTAACTACTTAAATTGCTTTTATAGCAATTTAAATCTACATAAGTTAAACTGTTCTATAATACGTTTACGTGGATGCTTTCAAAGGTTTCGTATCGAGAGTTTGCGAACGCAACCTATCGAAGGTGCATAGCACCTGAAGGTGTGTGTGTGTGTGTGTGTGTGTGCATACGACGAACAGAGCACACACGGCAGGATAGAGTATTAGATGGAGTTAGGTTACTCGTGAATTATAAAGATCACCGTCAATTACGAGATTGAATCCAAACACGTTATATATGCCGATCGATCGTTCTGAATAATAATTATTACCTTTATCTAGAAAGATAACCGTACATAGATCGATTCAGAGAATCACGATATTTATTGAACCTCTCGAGAAATGAACAAAGCAAATCTAACGTTCGCAGAAACTCGTACGTTACACCTGTCCCCGCATAAACGAATACTGGCCTGATAAAACTGTTTACGAACGATATCTGAAATGTACGTACGCTTGACTACATCTCTGAGAATGAGTCAGAGACAATGTTTCGACAAACATGTAAGACACAGGAATATAACGTGCAGCAGAAACGCAATGATAAGTCGAGGAATGCTCGAATTTGGAGTTTCATTTAATAATTAATTTATTCTATGTATATTCTTATTTAAAATAAATAAAATAAAATAAATTGTTTATCGGTGACGATCCAATCGATTGATACATCGTAAATCTACAAGTACTCGTACCTAGAATAAATATTTCCAGTATTAGAAAATAGAATGAGAAAATCAAGAGAAAATCACGGTAAGTGGTTCGATAAGCCGTTCCGCTGGTTAGTATTTAATCGACGGAGTGGCAGGTTTCGCATTATTACTCAGTCTGCTAAACTGTCGTGATATAAGCGTGATTTTAAAGTTGTTGTGAATCCACGAGAAGCCCATCATGTCGGCTCAGAAAGTTCTGGTTTGCTTGGCAATAATTGCCGTAGCGATGTTGGCTACGCAAGTAGACTCGTTTGGTCAACCGAGTTACGCGAATAATGCAACAAACAAATCTCACAACTTGGTCATTGGATACCGAATGCCTGGAGATAGGCTTGTTCTGAGACAAAGCGTAGTCAAGAACTCGTCCTGGATGCAGATTGTTACCGATCAGAAGTCCGTCAGCGTTTCGAAATTCTACCGTATTTCCATGATTAATGCTAGGGACATGAAAACCGATGGCAACGGTGCATTCGCCACCCTTGTATCCGGTGGTCTAGGATTCAATAATGCCACTCTCAGATTCAAGAGCCAACGGGGACACGGAATCAACTTCGTTCTTGAAGTGTACGCTCGTGGTTAAGCTAATTTCGCTGGATTAATATGAACCGTTTCGTTCAGGCCAGTCGGTTCTTTTCTTTCGGTCGAAAGTATCTTACTTGTTAAAGATTTGTCATTCCTTTCTGTATCATGAACCATGCTTTGAATAATTTGTTCCCATAACTTTTAATTTGTATTGTTATGCTATGTTGAAGAAAGAATAAAATTTTGGAAATTTGTGTGCCAACCAAGTCTATTGTTATTACTATAGTATCCTTATCTTCTAAGAGTGTATGTTCGAACGGGAAATATTTTCTGTGAAAAAGGCTTCTGTTCGAACGATATACAATTATTTACCTAAATAACTTGTTTATCGGCGACGATCCAATCGATAGATAAATCGTGAATTCACAAGTACTCGTTCCTAGAATAAATGTTTCCAGTATCGGTAAATAAAATGTGAAAATGGTATCACGATAAGTGGCCTGATAAGCCGATCGCTGGTTAGTATTTGAACGACGGAGCAGAAGGTTTCGCATTATTGCTCAGTCTGCTGAACTGTCGTGATATAAGCGTGATATCAAAGTTGTTGTGAATCCACGAGAAGCCCAACATGTCGGCTCAGAAAGTTCTGGTTTGTTTGGCAATAATTGCCGTTGCGATTTTCGCTACGAATGTAGACTCGTTCGGTCAACCGGGTTACGCCAATAATTCAACAAACAAATCTCACAACTTGTCCATTGGATACCGAATGCCTGGAGATAAGCTTGTTCTGAGACAAAACGTAGTCAAGACTTCGTCTTGGATGCAGATCGTTACCGAACAGAAGACCTTCAACACTTCGCAATTCTACCGCATTACCTTGGTTAATGCTCTGGACCAGAAAACCAACGGCAACGGTGCATACGCCAGCCTTACATCCGGTGGTCCAGGATACAATAGTGCCACGCTCAGATTCAAGAGTCAACGGGGACACGGAATCAACTTCGTTGTTGAAGTGTACGCACGATCTTAAACTACTCTCGATGGATCAATATTAATCGATTCACTCAGGTCAATCTGTTCTTTTCTCTCTGTCGAAAGTATCTTACTTGTTAAAGATTTGTTATTTCTTTCTGTATAATGAACCGTGCTTTGGATAATTTATCCCCATAACGTTTAATTTGTATTGTTATGCTATGTTGAAGGAACAATAAAATTTTGAAAACTCGTTTGTCAACCAAGTTTGTTGTTATTTCTGTTGGGATAGGTTGTTGTAGGAACTACACTTCTTGTGGGGTGACAAATCTTTCTTTATTTTTCCGATGTTCTCGGATAGAGCGCGCAAAACCAAGTGTGTTCTTCTTAGCTTGTCTCCATGTCGACCCCTCGGTTGCACTGGCAAAATTGTTAAACAACCCTGATTGGTTAACCCCACGCGTTGGGCCTTTCCAATCAGGGCCGTTTATTTTTCCCAAATCACCGCCTATTTCTTACGCCCACGGCGTGCTTGTTTTCGAAACGGCGTGGTGATTGAGGGGGACGACGTTGCGCCCTCACTGCAAGATTTCCTTCGGACCACCCGCGCTGGGCCCACTTGGCGAAACTCCGATGGGTACGCGTCGAGTGTCCTCTGGAAATCCCTAATTTACGACGGTCTCTATTTGCTGTTGAGGGACTTAGGAAAAGAATTTACTAAACGCATTCGATACGCGAGTCTGGAAAATATCTTCCTCAAAAACAGCTTCGACGAACGAGAGTCGTAAATTACGTGGGCCGTTTGCACGAGAGAAACTTTCCCATGTGCGCACGACCGGTCGCTACATTTCTATAGCGTCCTTAAAATAAAGAACAAGAATATGAAACAAAGTTATGTTGTATATGTATTTTCCTTGTCTGATTAGTTATTTAAGTATTATATCCCATATGCTGAGTCCACTTTTCTGCATCAAACCAGAAATTGTTTGGCTCGATGCTGATCGGATATAAATATTTTTCTTCGAGTACACTTTCTCTTTTATCATTCGTAACAATGGATTTCGATGTACAGTGAGTCTGAATTCATTCGTTCTACGACAAAAATAATTCATTTCAGGTAGAAAAACACTCAATAAATATTCTGTAACATTTATGCATGGTACGCTATTGTTTTCATCTTTCTATTGTTTATTGATTATTGATTTCTTTTTACAGTAGTTTGTACAATTTGTTATGTATGAAAGTCACAAAACAATAACCTTTACTAAAATGTTTGTATTTGTCAATTTAGTTGTGACAGTTTAAATAAAAGAATAAACCTTTTTCCATGAAACGACTTTCGTGCGTATAATAATATTGAAAAATGCTAAAAATTCGTGGTGTGTTAAAATCGATAAAGTCGCGTTGGAGAATGATAATAATTAAGATGTCACAAATCTGAAATATTTCTGCTAAATTTTATTAAGTTTCAACGAAATGCGCATAAGTTATCGTCTACAACGTTCTGAAAAATATTATTTCAAGCGTAACGCGATGAAAGTTTTTGAAACTGTTATTTCGATGATAAAGCTGAAAACTTGTATTGTACTTTGAATCAGCTATTCCGGTACTATAATACTTTTTAACAGCGAAAAGTTTACTCCTGGCCAAGTTTTCCTGTCGTTTAGCTTGCCTAGCCTTTCGTAGTATTTTGCGCTTGGGCTCCCACGATGAAAATACGTGCACCGTATCTATAATGTCAATAGCATCGGGGCTAATAATATTTATTTAGAGATTCGGATAGTTTTTCAATTTTAAGGTAATTATTCTTCTTTAAAGATCGAAAATAATAATAGTTTCTAAATAATTCGAGTGAATCTACTTATGGTGCGGGAACTAAGTCTACACACGAGGTAACGAACCCACTCGGTTAACAAGTATAGTAGCAAGCAGCCACCGACGACCTTGACGAAGCATTAGCTCACATAATTAAGAGAACTTGTAATGTAGGGCGGTAAACACGGAACTTTGTAACCTGTTCTACCGAAAGATCGAGAACACGCACAGAAGAACGATCAAGATTGCAAGACCCGAGTACAGAGAACGTCAAAAGAAATTCATTTTTACCAACTAATACTCTGTACATACATACATATTACGCGATCAGTTTGCACGGATGCCTTTTAATATCACGAATAAACAAGCCTGTCATCGCAAAATATTATTATTCCTCTAAGCGTACAGTCACTTCCCGTTATCATAATTAATCCTTGAGATTTTTTAAGTCTCATATATAAAGTAAAAAAATTTAATTCTTCAAATAAATAGCAAAGTACAGTATTTGATTGCTTGCACAACTATAAAGTATATTGCATACATACATTTAAATCTTTTAAAGATCGTCACGACCATCCGTAACGCAAAAGTCCACACGGTTGTCGTTGAATTAACTAGGTAACTTACTTTTACAGCAATTTAGATCCATGTAAGTTTAACTATTTCGTAATACGTTTACGTGGGTGCTTTCAGAGGTTTCGTATCGGGAGTTTGCGAACGCAACCTATCGAAGGTGCATAGAAACCGAAGGTGTGTGCACGCGTTTGCATACGACGAACGAGGCACACACAGCAGGATGCAGCATTAGATAGAGTTGGGCTGCTCATGAATTATAGAGATCGCCATCTATTACGAAATTGAGGCCAAACACCTTACACGCGGCAGTCTATCCTTGATAATAATGCTTACCGCCTGCATCTGTAAAGATATCGGTAAACAGATCGATTCGGTGAATTACGATATTTATTAAACTTCTAGGAACAGAGGGGTACCGAATTTAACGTTCCCAGAAATTTGTACATAATACGTGTTCTTACGTGCGCGAATAATGGCGCGATAAAATTTGCAGCGGTGAACGATCGGTGGAATATTTTACGATAAAAGGCATGTTTATTCATGCTGTTAAAAGGCTTGTTTGCGAACGATACCGCGAACATTTGTGTGTTTGATTACGTTTCTGGAACCGAGACAGGATCTAAAGAAAGATTCCAACTCGCGGGTATGAAATTAGAATATAAAATATAGCAGAATCATTAAGATAACTGGAGGAAATGTTTCTCAATTATATATTGTTCGGGGAATATAAATTCCAATTTCTGCACGGTTTAAACGTTAAATTTATAATCTATGAATGGGAACGTAGATACGTATCTCTGTTGCAAAATCAATGTATTTGTCGCTGACGAGGGTCAATCGATAACAAACTCAAAAAAAAGTGGAAACATTTAAAAGCACGTTTTCTTAGAAGGGATTTTATTAGTTCAAGTAATGTAGATTCTTATAATCATATCGAGATAAGTGAACTGATAAGGCGATCGGTGATGCTATTTAAGAGACGAAGCAGCAAACTTTGCACGAACACTCAGTCTGCAGCGCTGTTGTGATCAAAAGAGTGATTATAAAATTCGTGCGTGTCGGTAGAAGAAAAATTCACCATGACGACTCAGAAGACTATGCTGTATTTGACGATACTGGTCGTTGCCGTGTTCGCCACGGAAGTAAACTCTTTATGGGGTTCCGACAATAACGGAAACAAGTCCCATAATCTGATAGTTGGATTCCGAATGCCTGGCGACAGGCTCGTCCTGAGACAAAATGTGATCAAGAATTCGGCCTGGATGAGGATCGTCGTCGAGGAGAAGACCTTCAACACTTCGATGTACGATCGTATCACCTCGGTTCAAGCTCTCGACCAGAAGACCAATGGCAACGGTGCGTACGCTAGCCTAACCGCTGGTGGTCCAGGATATTCCTCCGTCAGCCTTAGATTCAAGAGTCAAAGGAGCCATGGAATCAACTTCGTCGTCGAATTGTACGCGCGAAATTAATCCACGCAATTTGAAATTTGTCAAATCCGCTTATTAACGATTTGTCGTCTAAGAGAACCAAGTTTCCTGATAATTTATTTGCACAACTTTTAACTCGTAACTTCACTTTACGCAATGTTAAAAGAACAATAAAGCTTTGGAAATTCTTGTGTCGATCGAATCGATTGTTACTACCATGAAAGCGTCTAGCTTTCAAATTTCATCCGCTCATTGTAATTTTCCAGAAGTAAACTTAAAAATGTATCATTCCCCTTCGTAACATGAATCATGCCCTAATTAATTTATTTCGATAACTTTTAATTTGTAACTTGTGTTAAGAAAAACAACGATGTTTCTTAACGTTATTCGGTAAAAAGTGTGAAAATTACAAACCACCTCACCGATAGAGAAATAAACTTTTTCAAATATTCCAATCCTCCAGTTCTCCAATATATCTCTGCTATTTTCAGTTCCCATCCATTCGCGATAACGTAATTAAAGGAATTTTAAGACCTTCGTCGAAGAACAGATTGCTAGAATCATCGATGCCCTTTTCGTGTACGCTAATCAACGAAATCCCGTTGGCTCCGATAACGCTTCCCTTCGTTCCTCTTCGATTCTACTGCGCTCGAAACTGAATCCCTGCGTAGATGTTTCTAAGAGGCAGAGAGATCTTCCGTTTCTAAGGCTTACGTACAAAGTACATTTTGTGCATGCATGCGTGGCGGCACGGCGGAGAAACAACCGACTGGAAAATTGTTGTCGCTTCGCGGGGCATTCTACCATGGGGATCCGACCGACGGGGGGTGAAACTTCGAATCGAGTTGAGGGCCACTGAAATTGGTGGTGGTATCTCAAGCTTGCGAACGACCATTTCGTTAACCTATTTATTCTATCTCCATTCCGCTAGCGTCGCTGGCCGGAGTGACTAGTTTGCCCGCAGTTCCAACCTTCTCAAAACGCGCCCCCGATCCGCAGGGAAATGCAGTTTTCTTCGTCATGGATTGCTCTTTAACGACGTCAGCCGCTGGGACATTAGTGGACATCCACTTCGTAAATAGGCACAAACTTGTTAATTAGCTTAAACACTGTGGCAGTGGAATTTCATATCAACGTTGCTCGAAGTGAAACCCATCGCATCGGCGGGTACCAGTCGCGCGTGTATCGCTGTTTGTGCGGTCGCTCGTGAGCAATCCATTACATCCTCCAGGGTCGTTGTTTGTATTTCTGATTCAGATACAGTATCGCCTTACATCACGCGGAATAGACATATCGACGAATTCGTCACGGAATGATTTTATCAGAACGTTTCGTAAGTCTTCCAGCACTTTGGCGTACGAAGAAGATGGCTATCCCGTAGATAATATTATTCCTTGAATTAAATTTACGTACGCGAAACGATCTGATATCGAGTGTGCGGTATTAATAGACACAGAAGAAAGTTGATTACGCAGAAGTATACCGAACTACCGGGAGTTCTCCAAGTATAGAGACAAAGGGATCGATAACGCACAGTTCGGTTCTCATTTACTACAATCCTACAAGGTGCTATATACGAACACTGAGAACGCACAAGTGAATCAACATGTGCATTGTTAGACAGAAATAGTAACGCCGTCTACTATTTCCACGACGCGTAAAAATAGTCCAGTCAATAAGGAATTGTAAAACTTTCGCTTCAACGCCTATTACGTTTAGGTATCTATATATAAGTCAACGACTCTAGTTCTCGGTTCGCCTGATATTTTTTACATTAATATCGACCGACTCCCTGAAACTTTTCGATGCAAACGCATTAGATACGGGTCACTGGATTTTTCGATTCCTCCAATCTAGCAAACGATCGAGCAACGCAGCAGTGTTAAACGTTGCATGATTATTGGAAAACAATTGTACACTGTGGTCTGCCGCACGATAGCAAAGTACAAATTGGCTCTTTGCGTTCAATCTCATTTTTCATTTCGAAGTAATCGTCTCTGATAAGAAAGTGTAAGCGCGTTTAGGTTCCCATGCATCGGAAGCGCTCGACCGCAGACCCCATCGGTTGCGCGTAATGCGAAAGCGTAAGGACCACCGTGCGTGGTCGTAAACCTGTCCAGCGAGCTTTCGGTTATTGCTTGTAAAGTTGCGAAAGTGACGAGCAAACGTGCAGGCGAAACATCGTTTGGCAGACAATTCGATGACAGGATCGGGCGAGAACGAACCGACGAATGAAAGCGTGTTTGCACGAGCGTACACCCAGTCGCTCCTACAAAAGAACTGGCCGTCAAACCGAAACCGCAGCGACCATTATCGGGCAATTTTAAACAGAAAGCCGTAGTTACGGTTCTCGCGTTTTAAGCCCCGCGTTCGTCAAACGACGCGACACGTTCCTTCGATTGCCGAGATACGTGTAAACACGGTATTAATGGCGGGAACGTTACAAAGGCAGAAGAGAAAATCCACCCTCGCGACGCACAGGGCTGAAAGAGGAACGAGAAACATTTTTAGTCGAACGGCGAAAACAAGAAACGAATGTGTTCGACATATGTCACCTGTAATATCACCTGCGTAACGCAAGTCAGCCGAGTTATAGACGTTACGCAGCGTATCTCCGATGAAATGGTTTTAATGGATTGGCCAACTGACTTGCGTTTTCTGTTTGATGCTCGTCGCGACTCGAGCAAATCTACTGTAGAAGCTGACGAACTTAAAGATTCATCCATACGAGAACTGAGGTTGCACTTTCGACCGGTTGTAATTATTTAACACATTTTGTATTTCGCATAGAGACATCTTTAACCTTTAATATTGAGGAAGAACTACGATTTAATTAATATACTAGTAATAGAAATAAATATTTTCTAATGTTTCTTCCTCTTCCTTTAATGTTCTAAGCAGATGCTCATTTTGCTTATTGGTTAATGCAGTGTATTCTTGCGTGTATTCCATGCAGATTACTATTAAATAACTTGGAGTGCTGTTTTGAAGCAAACGTGCTTAGCTACTTTTGGATCGTTTGAGCATCGGTCTTGGGAGCATTTAGGTATTTGATGCTTAGCCTTTGGTACCAATTCTATCTACTGATTAGCCGCAACCGTAAGATCACAGACCGTGCATTGGCGCAGTCACGACGTAAGTCAACTGTGTTGCCCCATGCGGTCAGCTCGTTAACCGGTATGAACTGCACTTCGACCACCTATGTAATCTACGTTTATGCATATGAGAAACACGATTAACTGATATCCTTTGATAGGATTCCTCTTAGAGAAAATCGCATTACCACTCGATCCGTCATGATTGAAAGAGAAGTTCTAATGAGCAGAATCGCACTGTGTCCGTACCTTTGGTGGACGAAAGATCAGGAATCGTAAATATACCTCTATCAATTTGTGGTGACAGATAATGGGAGTTACGCTTTGCAAACGTCTCGTCTCGTTATCGAAAATTAATAATTATACTAATATAGAATGTCCCAGTTTCACATTTAGTGCTCCATCAAGTTAAGAGAATCTCTTAAATTCTGGTTCATTTCTATACTAGAGAGGCATGATGCTAATGGTTGATTCTGTCGAGAGATTTAGCATGTTACCTCGTAATATAAAGTCGATAAAATAAATTTATTTACGAGAGAGGAAAATATTCTGCGAATATATACGAAAAATAACAATTCCGAAAGAAGTGAGCAATTCCGACAACTAAGTAATAGAATTTCGTGAAATTAAACATTCAGGTGAAACTAGGGCAACCAGTTTAAAAGCTCTATGTACTTCAGCGGCAAAAGTACCACTCGGGTATGAAAGTACCATCTCGGAGAAATCTTTTTATTCCACCCCACATTTGAATGTATGTACGTACATATTTCTATAAATAATGCTTAGAAATATAGTGATGATTTATTAGAAGTTTTATTTGCTTTTAAAAATATACGAAATATATTATCTTTAATAAATTTATAGAATTTTTTTCTTAAGCAATATCGTTCGTAAACAGAAATTTCTTTTAAAACTCTCGGCCATACCACCTTCATTCAGAACTATTTATTTTTTTCTACGAGTCTTTATACGCCCTAATTATGCTATACTTCATTTATTATGCCGCGGTACGGAGCAGTGCTCGTTATTTGAGTTAGACTTGAATATGTAAGGCCTTTTGAAATTTTAGAAAAGTTCATTCTCGCCAAGTTTTTAATATGTTCCCGTGTAATAGATCAGAGTTATGGTAGGTTTTCTTTTTTATGTTCGTGGAGCGACATTACTGGCTACGATAAATTGCAATATACTGCCTTTAAGGAAATGGCATGACATATCGTTCGTGGCTCAGGAAAGGTAAAAGGACGCAAAGTGGTGGGTGTTAGGACAGGTAGATGAACTACAGGTGGAGGTAATCATCGACGGGGGCTGTAGAAGGGTCCGCGTCAATAAGTACTGACATTTACGCGCCTTCGTATATCGATCCGAGATGAAACTTTCTAGGAAAAAGAAACGACGTATTTATATCGGTATGAGAAACCTGGATGTGCTCGCGTGGCGCGATAAGTGCTCCAATAATAGAAGCCAACAGTTTCTCGATCGTTACTCGAATATAAAAAACAAGTATTAGAGGCAATTGTAAAGAAACTATCTTATTCGGAGTTTATAAATTGTTTTGTTTGCCGTCGATTCCTCTCGGAGTATCATCCTCATTAAGGACGTGAAATGTGCATGTAATTTGAAATTACTTTTAATATACTTCGTATATATTCGTTCGAGGGAGATTAATATTGAAGTTTAATTATCAAGATAACGAACTTGGCAAATGAAGGGTACTGCCGAATCAGGCCAATGGCCACGGGCGTGGCTACGTCAGTAGGCGGTCGTACAAGATACGATCCGCGTTTCCGTGTTGCATGATTTTTGGTAATAATGAGTAACGTCGAGCTTCATAAATATTAAATTGTTCTCTTTTATTTATATTTTGCTCCGAACCACGGGGCTATCGTGTAATTTCGTTGGCGAAGTATTACGAAGAATACGATATATCACTTTGAGAACGATTTACATATTTATGTTTTGGGTACTGGCGAGTGAATTTTTGCGATGATCTCGAGGGTCGTTTCAGATATTTTCCCAGGGATTATGCCGCGAGTGTTTCGTACGGGAAAATGTTTTCAGTCGTTCGGCGAGGGACGATGAAGTAGATCGTGAGCGATGTGTGCGAACGTGTTTGCGTACGAGGAAAGCCAAGGGTCGGTTGGTAATTTCTCCGACTGGTCAGTAGAAGAGTCTCGCATAGAGCAGCCAGATAGCTCGTGTCGCAGGTTGTGGATGTGCGGAACGATATCGATCCGGGCGTTAAATATTTAATCGCAAGAAGAAAGTTCAATTCACGGACGAGGACGGTTGTCTTTCGAAGACAGGCCGGAGGAACGAAAACGAATGCGACAGAAACAAGGTAGCACGCAACAATTTCTCGT